TTTTGGCCATGTTTTAGCATGCTCTAGGTCTGATTTAAGTGTTTTGGGTCATGCATGCCTTGCTTTGTACAACCATAGTTCATTTTTGCTTACTAGCTTTGTGTTTTGAGTCCACTTGCATGCATTGCTTGGGCTATTCGCATGACTTAGCATCATTTGATACATGATTTTAGATCATGTTTCGTTGTCATACACTCACATGTGTCACTCTTTCAATGCTTTGGAGGGTTGGTGCTTTATGCCTTAAATATGAGCCAATGTGTATGCCATCTTGTCTAGGCATTTGGGCCACCATTTCAGTGTATTTTTGGTGTTATTTTACCATGATACAACTCTATTTTTGATTGGTTAGAGCATCCCTCATTTGCCTCTTACACTTGTAGTGTAATCATGCTCATTGGCCTAGCTTACTTGATGTTTTAGCTTACCATGCTAGCTTGTTTTTGCTATACTCCACACATGTTTTAGCATTGTTTTGACATGCTTTAGGGTTGTTTTAGGTGTTATTGGCCTTTTGGGGTTTGCTTTGTGTCACGACCCAAACCCGGTACCCCAAGGGTTTAATGTCGTAACAAGATAAATGAAATAAAATAAGGTAATTCGGAAAATTTTACAGCACAAACGGATAATTTAAATAAATTAGAATAAGTAACTGGGTATCAACTGTTTATTTTAAAGGTAATAAACATAGTCATTGGAGCTTCATAGTATTACAAGAGTTTAATAATAGAAGACAGAAATAAAAAAAAAAAAACAAAAAAAATAAACAAAACAACATAGCGATTCATTTTCCATCTTGATCCCGCTAAACCTCGTCACCTGAAAGGGGTAACAGCTATAAGCACATAGCAGAGTGAGAAATATTATACTATGAGGGCACAAAATAGCCATGGATATTTATTTAAGCTAAAAACATTATAAATTGAGTTGAATTGAATACATAATTTAATTAAGTGCCAGAAACTGAAATAATCACTATAACCACGGTACATCACTAAGTGACTAGCACTACACTGGTCAATGGATCCATGACAAACACTGGGCCACAAAGTGGTCAATCACTAAGCCAATGGTTATTTAAGTCCCCCAAGGCATGGGACTCCCGTGGTGGTATTCACAAAACATATTTTCACATAAGGTTATAGCCAAATATTCTTTAAAATAAAAACAAACATATCCATGATTTTTCTTTTAAGCAAATAGGGTTCAGAAATAAAACCACGTAACTGAAATCTTTATAAAACATAACTTTTATTAATATACTAATAAAATATAACTTGTATAAAATAGATTTTGGTAAGTCAAAACATAAATAAAATACATTTTGGTAACTCAAGGTATAATATAACTCACCTTAATAGTGACCCTTAGCCTTACTCCACTAACCCAACTTATTTACGTATTTCTTCCACTCTCTTTTCTTTCTTTCTTCTTTCTTTCTTTTCCTTTCTTCTTTTCTGTTTCTCTCTTCCACAGATTGAGCAACTTCTCACTATTTATAGGGAGATGAGTCCACCGATTAGCCGACACGTGGCCGATTCGAATCCCTTCCCAGATTGTTTCTAATTCACCCGAGATTCATACCTATCTTAAGAATTAATTAGGATAACAATTAAGATAATTACATTTGACCCAATATGTTAATATAATTATATAAGTAAATTAATGTTTAATTAAATTACACATTAACACATACCAACAGAAAATTAATTATTTATTTTATTACCATACCCATTATTATTATTGTTTATATTATTATTTATTCCCTCTTTTTTTCTTTTTTTCTTTTTTATTTTTTTTATTTTTATTTGTACTATACATTTTATAGTTAGCCTCAAATAATAATCCCTAATTAATAACCCAACGCCATTTTAGATTTATACATTTATTCATCTATCATCACGTGCAACCATAATTACGTGCAACCATAATTATATATAAATATAAATATTTATATGGACTTGACTAAACGTTCGAGGTGTCACAATTCTCCCCTTCCAACAGAAGTTTGTCCTCAAACTTGACGTACCTTAACCTTCGAAGAGGTGCGGGTATTTAGCTCGCATTTGTGCTTCGGTTTCCCACGTAGCTTCTTCGATGTGAGGATTTCGCCATAAGACCTTTACCAACGGTATGGTCTTATTTCGGAGAACTTGATTACGATGATCGAGAATCTGCACTGGTTGTTCTTTGTAGGTGAGATCTTCTCGAACCTCCAGGTTCTCATAGTTGATGACATGTTCTGGGTCCCGGAGATATCGTCGGAGCATTGAAACGTGAAACACGTTGTGGATATTAGATAGCTCAGGAGGTAGTGCAAGGCGATAGGCTACAGGACCAATTCTTCCAGTATCTCGAATGGCCCGATGTAACGTGG